AGAGAGAGGTGTGTGTGTGTGTGGCCAGCTCAGCCCACCAGGGGGCGGGGCTGGCTGGCATGTGGTGCTGGGGGATTGAACCGCGGTCCTTGATGCTTTGCTAAGCTTGTTCTAAGTAGGTGCTTTAGACCACTGAACCATCTCTCCAGCCCCTGTAGCTTCCTATTCTAATGATTTTAACCTGTGAATTTTAGATACTTGTCCATTTTAAAGTATAAGATTTTTTGCCAAATTATTATTTCATTAGAGTAGGTATATTTTAGGGAACACATGATACCTTGGGAGAATCCTTATCCAGAGTCTGGACATTTTGCCAAGCAAAAGAGATGGCATTTCTTTGCATGAACTGTAATCTTAAGTACCAGCACCAGTGTTGTAGAGCTTGTTCTTAGCTTTAAGTAAATACCAGCTCCATTATCAACATGTAGACACTTAATGGTTTTGACTCCTTAAGAACAATAACACTCAAAACAATAACTCTGTTGATTTGTCTTTCACCCTGGCTGGTCATCTCCGATTCATCACAAGTCATGCTGAATGTGCCACTGAAATAATTTACTAATGGACACATTTCTCTGCATCTTCACTGAGAACCTTCTTATGCCGGTCTCACCTTCTCTCTCCTGATCTATGTGGGTCTTGCTTTGACTCTTATGCACACAGAACTCTCAGTCCACTCCTAAAATTAAGATCCCCACATAGTTTAAATCCCCACTTGAACCACCTATTTTTAAAATAAGATTCCCCCTTTCTACAGAGCCTGCATCATCCCAGCAGCACTGGTGCCTTGGACTGAAATCCGATTCCACTTCATGTTTGCAGGGTTTGTTTGACTAAGTGAGCAACACTTAGTTGTCAGCTTGACAACTGTGTTTTGTCTTTCTAGAAGACTTTTCCCAATGCTACACTGCTTTGGAAGAGATATGCAAACTTAAGCCCATGGTCTTACTAATCTACTTCACTGAGCTCATCACACTTATTATTTGAAATCATTTTTTGTAAAATCTAATGTAGTGTCTCACTCCTGCACTGTCATAAGCTTCATAAGCTTAAGAACCTTGTTAATCTGTATGGTGAGGTATGCTCTAGACTGCTATACATGACTTATGATGAGAGTTTGACACATATTTGTGAAGGAGGTAGTGTATCACTATGTACCAGCTTCCAATGGTTAAGAATGAACTGACAACATAAGGTGATTCTTTAGTAATTTACATGCAGATCGATTAACTAGCTTAAAGCTTTCTTTCCGAGAATACTAATAAATGGCAAGAATGTTGTGGCGAGTCAGAACAAACCTAGGTTTAAACTGAGGACCAGCTTGGCCTTTTGCAGTTCCAGCGTGATGTAGTCACCCTGCTGACCCTCGCCGTGGAGGATTACCCCTTCGCTTTCCGAGGTTTTAAATTTCAGGGCAATGACATCCTTCAGGGTTTTCATCTTCTTGTTTCGGAATCGATAGGGTAACACAACGTGGCCGTCAAAGTTGATCACGTCGGCCCCTTTAGAAAACAAGAAACCCTTTGTTAGTTTAGTCTCCATATGTCCTCACCCACTCCAGTGGATATTTACACAGAATAAATGAGAATTAAAGATGCTTTTCCTGAAGAACCTGAAGTCCTGGATTCTTACACTATTTCGTTTGTTTGGTTTACTAAGTGTCTTCAAGTAGATTTTGTAGAGCTTTTTAATCAAGAATGATGATAATGCCTCTTCCAATATAAAATTTCACTTTGTCATAATCTTTTTTTTTTTTTCATTTTATGTATTTGGTACAGGATCTCACTACATAGCTCAGACTTGTAGCGATCCTCCTATTTTTTGCCTCCCCAGTTCTGGGATTATAGGCATGTACCACCATGCCTGGACTCGGTGGATGGCTCAGCACACCCTGGGGTTCCGGCCGATGTGGCATGTGGGACAGGGGATTTAACCCTTGTCCTAGTGCTTGCTGAAGCAGGTGCTTAGTCTGCTGAGCTATCTCACTGGCTGTTGTCATAATCTTAATAACATAAACTCAATTAATATATTTATTGATATGTTTCAAATTTTAACTTGGGAGTCTAAAGTTTAGTCCAAAAATAGTGAAAAGTTTAGCTCCAAGAGATGATAGGATTTGATTTTTTCTTTACTAAGGAAGATAGTGCTTGATGGTACAGAGATAGGTTTTATTTCAATATTTTCTATCTTTAAAATGAATGTGTAGTACATCCCTGTAATTCTAACAATTTGGGAGGTTCAGGACTTCAAGTCCAACTGGCACAGCTTAGTGACTTTCATGACTCTGCCTCAAAATAAAAATATAAAGAACTGGGCTTGTAGATCAGTGGAAAGGCTCTGCGTACAACACCCAGTATTGGAAAAATAAAACAAAAAACAACAAAAACTCCTTCTGTTGAAGCATCTAGGAACTCCAAATGGAGTTTTAGGTGATGTACTCATTTTTTTAACTGTCTTCACAGTCCATGACAGTTTTAGTGGGTTTGTTATACTATTCCACATAAATAACTAATTGATCTTGGAGGTATAGCATAGTATTTGGTCCTAGGTATCGTCCATGTCTCAAATTCCCCATTACCTGCTTGTACTTGTACTGCAGAATGTATCCGACTACAATGAACACAGATCCTCATTCACCCAAATTGAGTTAGAAAAAAAATAACTAGCCACGTCATGACCTAGGAGTTCTAATTTGAATGTTGAAGGCTAATTTAAAATAATGGCAGTATGTAAAGCCAAGAATTATGGACAGTCCGTGACCTTGCTCAAAAACAGGTCATTGTTTGGCTTGGTCTCATCACTGCTCCTAATTCACATCAGAACTAACAGATGGGGGCCAGGGAGATGGCTCAGTGGAAAATCCTTCCTTGGCAAGCACAAGGACCTGAGTTCAATCTCCGGTTCCACTGGAAAAAAAAAAAAAAAAAACCTAACAGATGAAGATTGGGTATGGTGGCGTGTGCCTGTAATCCCAGTGGTTGGGAGGCTGAAAACAAGAGGATCACTATGTGTCCGATATGTGTAGTGAGACCCTGTAGACCTTGTACTAAATATATTTTTAAAAAAAGATAAAATGATATTTCCTATACACCATGAGCCAACAGCTTCCTGACTCTGGAATGGCTCACAGAGGACTTATGGTTAAGCAGATAAAGTATTTATGCAAATAGAAGCTTAGTGATTAAATATCTATCATTAAAATGTTGCCAAAATCCCACCTCTGTATTTAATTTTGAAGTCATAAAAACCTAGTTGAACTGTACAACTCTACTTTTAGAATTACAAATATGAAAAAAGAAAAAAAAACATAGCCTCTCTGTTCTGGGCAAAGTCTGGCTGAAAATCTCCATGAGGAGACATCGGAGAAAACTAATAGCAAGTTTAAGACTTGTCAGAGAAATATTTTCTCATTTCTTGTCCTGGAACTCTGGCATTTGTTTACTTCAATCACCACAGAGAGCACTTAGGTTTGCCTGGTAAGTAGAGCGTGCCCAGCCAGCTCCCTGGAGTGGTGGCAGTCGAGGATCACGGCTGTCACAGCCACGGCCGCTTTGCCCTGGGCACTACCAGCTTTTTTTTTTTTTTTTTTCTCAAGCTTTTATTCTTAATTCTATAAAGTGAATTGTTGTGAATGCTGTCATTTCCTCCATTACCTCAAATCTATGTTTTCCTTTCAAATCCAAAACGCTTTCAAATCACATGCTTTAATATATACATCCCATATCTCAGATATGAATGCTTTTGAAGGATACATTGAGCAATGTTGCATTATACAGGACCAAGGTCCAAAAGGAAAAACCTAGGTTTGACCTTTCCAGTTTTCTGGCATTCAGTTCTTCACTGCATGTAAAACTTCCCTCAATCAACAGACTTCTGAGACTGCACATCACTGAAGTTTATTTCAATATAGGTGGGGGCAATCAGCCATTAAAATCTGACTTCTGCTAACACTGCAAAGCCAGTTAGATTTGGCTTAATCATCTGTATAGTCATAGCTGAATTCCGGTGGCAATATCTTTGTCATCCGTGATGAGAGATAAAGAAGAGAAAAAGCGGAATCTCATTTGCAGAGCTTAGGTTGAATTTATAATCCAGTAGTTGGTAGAAATTCCTTTTCGTCTTGAGAAGCGAATAAACAAAAACCAGCAGGGAGTCAGTTCTGACCTCTGGAAAGTAATTTGCCATCAAGTTCCTGTCAGTGACAGTAGAGTAATACACACATCATTATTTTATACACTGTCAATATGTATTAATTGACATAACATACTTCTCTCAGGAAATAAGTGCTCCTGGAGTTTAGAGAAAAGAAATCACTGCACAAGCATTTGCTCCTAAATAAAAATATGGATTCAATCCCGAGTACAGAATAGAGACTTATGCAAATGTTTATTCCATTCTATCTCACCTCAGTGTGCAAAGAAAACTAGGACAGCGAGGGTGAGCACGGCTTACTCTTGCAGACAATCCTGAGGCATTAATACAACCATGAGAGAAAGCTGGTTATCCAACAAGTTGCATTTTACTAGTGGCCAGCCCTCAGTGGATGACTTCAAATTGATAAAACATCCTATAAACCAGATCCCCATTGTGAAATCGAAGTTGTTCTTCAATGAGTTAAAAGCTTCAAAAGTGTCGATGTGTTTTCTGTATATATGAGCTCAGACAGGGATTGAAAATTGTAAAATTCCTTAAAATTTGTATCATATAATTCACATTTAAACAGATGCTATCTAGTTTTAAGAGCATCTAAGATATTATAACAAACAGAGCTAATAACATCCATCAATTTTAGCTCCTACAAAACTATATTAAAATTTCATTTGACATCTAATAATATGTTGGGCTTAACTGAGGACAATTAACTTTTCTCACCCACTCTCCTATTATTTATCACTCCCTAAAATTAAGTTTCACATGCAGAGATTAAACATGGGTGGTTGAACTGTTTAAGCAATCTGAACAACAATAATAGCTAGTCAAAAAGTGATTGCAAAAATCGCAGTGTTTCTACAATTTTGTTTCTAACAATAGCTCAGAGAGCTGGGAATATGCCTAACTCATTAAATTACCACGGTTGAAGAAGTCTTTTACTTTTTAAAAGTTTTATTGCTAGTGTTTGCATTGAGAATGTGGATAGTTTGGGGCAATATTTGTCATGTAAGACTTTAATATGTTTAAATATTTTTAGCAAACATATAATATATATTTATTGTTGAAAAGAAATTAAATGATGCAGAAATACTTTGAGTAGAATGTCAATCTCAAGCACAAGAGATTACTCACATTAGTGAGCATGAGGTTGTTGCATTTTAGATATTGAATAAAAATTTTTAATGTATGAAATAATCTATACATTTTTGTATATATTACAGTATTGTTTGAATAATATATTGCATGCATTTAATTACACATGAATACATATGTGTACATTCATATATCATACATAAAATATGTGGTATTTCATATATATTATATGAATATATATGCACATATACATATGTGTTCTTGTATGCATTTTATATCTAAAGACCAAAAGATACATAATTAATGAAAATACATACTAAAGAACTTCAAGAAATTGAACTATATTTTTGAAACTAAACTTTAAAAATGAATTGAGGAATTTGGCTACTTTGGCAAGTTGTACATTAATACAAACCTTCACATTCTTTTTTGTTAAGTCAGTTGTTGATATTCTAGATAGTTGACCTGTTTTTACAAAATAATGTGACTGCCAAATTCATTCTTTCCCCATACACTCAATTTTATTTTTCTGTAGCCCTTGCTTTGACCTGGAATATTGAAATGTTCTTGTATGTACAGCATGTCTCCTCTGAGAGTGAAGAAGAACAACAGGTGCTGTGTTCGTTCATCTTGTAGGTGAGCACCTAAAACAACGCCTGAAAAACAATGTTCATTCAATATGTGCCACATGATTGAACATTGTCATTTGTACTTAAATACATTTTGTTAAATTGGTATAGCATTATTCTATTGGTTTACATTAAAAATTAGACAGTAGATTGGAAGAATTTTCTAGAATCTGCCTTTGTGCCACAGCTACAAACTTACCTCTGATTTCAATTATTAGAAAAAATATTCAAGTGAGACAGCATTTTCAAAGCTGTGGTGGTAGACAAGAATTAATTCCATTATTTTTATTTACTCTGGCCTGGAAATGACATAATCTCATATAGAATCTGTGTCATTCAATCTACATGTCTTCTTTTATGATTCTTGTCTTCTAAGTCACTGTCTTTACTTTCAATGTGTTTAAGAGTATCTAGGATATTATTACAAACAGAGCTAATAACATCCATCAACTTCAGTTTCTATAAAATTACATTAAAATTTCATTCTTATGCAGAGATTAAATATGGGTAGTTGAACTGTTTAGGCAATTTGAACAATAATAGCTAGTCAAGAACTGAATGCTTCTAAGTGAACAATGAAAAGATCACCTTAATAGATCCCTTTAAAAATGACCTAGAGAGAGACTGAAAAGTCTCCTCTCAGGAATCAGGAGACAATGCAGAAAAATCATCAGAGTATGTTTTTTTTATGAAGCCTAGCAACTCTCATTGCATACAATATTTCTCCTTAAACTATGCTGCTTTTCCACGATGCGCTTATTTTGATGTCCAGGAGCAACTGTGTCAGAGAACTGTGATTGCCTTTCTTTGTAAAATAGAGACCCCACCACTCAATTCTGGGTAACGGGGATTCTCATGAGTATTTGATAGGACCTCCTATCTCAATTTGTCCAGCATATGATTCTATCTCTGTGCCTCAATACACTCATTCTCTTTCCCAATATCCAATCATTCAAGTTGGAATCTGGAACTTTTCTGAGCTCAATTTTTTTTTTTTTTAACCACCTACATCCAGCCATATCCAAGTCCTAGAAAATGAGGTGGTACTCTATCCTTCAAACTGATAGCTTACTCACTACCACTGGGCTGGTTTTATTACTCATGGGGTCTGTTGTCTTAAAATTTTTATGTTTTCCACTCAAAAGGGCCTATTTACTTTTAAAGAGCACAAAAAATAGTAGAGAAAAAAGTCCTTTAGAAACAATACAGAATTTCACTAAACAAAATGATAGGAGTTCAAAAATGGGTACTAGATTACACACTGTTGTCTTGAAACTAATGGTGCAGACTGTCAGCTGTAGGTATGTGAACTGGGGCAAAATAGAAAAATTAAGAAAGAGGGAGAAAAAATGAAAACATTAATTTTTCCTTTTAATAAACCATCTGGAAAAAGCAATACAACTATTCAAGTCTATATATATATATATATATATATATATATATATATATATATATATATAAATCATCATATATGTGGGGGGGAGAAGAAATACATATATTTCTTTTTCCCTTCCTTCTTCCTTTTCTCTTTTCCCTCATCCCAGTTGTTCCTTCCCTTCAAACAGTTACTTTCCCTTTCACAATCTCCCTAGTACCTTTCAGATACTATTTACCCAATCAGGTTCTTCAACTAGGAAGGTAATATGATGTTTACACATCTGATCTTCTTCAATTATGAGTATGGTCTTTAATTTCATCTGTATACCTGTAAAGCCCTCAAGTTTATCTTTCTTTATCATGGAGTCATATTCAATTTTGTAAAAATGCCACACCTTTTTTTATCCATTCCTCAGCTGATGGGCAATTGGGTGGTTTCTGCCAGGAAACTGTTGGAAAAAGATGCCCTTGAACCCACACAAGATCACATTCATGTTAGCTGGCACAAAAGGAACAGGTTATTGACCGCAACTAGTATGTACCGGGCTGCTCTGCAGACCTGCACAGCGGCGATGGCTGGGGAGGCAGGCACTCTATAGAGCAGGCAGGAATGGGGAAGGTGAGTCATGAAGTGTCCTTTGCTGGGCCAGGGTGTTCTGGGCAGGCGAGAATGGGGAAAGGGGGGTCATAAAGTGTCCCTGGCTGGGCTAGGGTGTTTTGGGCACAAAGTTTAGAGTCCTTGAGGGAAGCCAAAACAAAGCTATATGGGTAAGCAGCTGGATATAGACAGTCAAGGTTAAATCTGCAGCACAGTTGTAGTTGGCGCATCTGGGAACATCGGAAGAGGTACGAGGGAAAGGGGCCTACGGCTGGGTGCCTTAACAGTCCAGACTTTGAGTTATAGGAAAAGGGCAACACAGCTTTTTCTGGCTACTTCCTGCTGTCAAGGGGCATTGGTTTAGACTGTAGGCTCATGGTCTGGAGTGTCAGGTGCAGCTACAGGAATGGGGTGGTACCTGCTCGTTCGCTCAGGTCAAAGTAGCATCTGGCAGGTCCGTTTCATTTCAGTGAGATTGACTAAATACATCTTTAAAAATTAAAAATATTAAAAAATAAAGTGAAGGCTTTCAGTTTTGTCCATTTAATATGATGCTGGCTGGTGATCTGTCATAGATTTTTTTTTATCAATTTGAGGTGAAGACCATCTATTCCATTTTTCTATAGGGTTTTCACCATGATGAGTGTTGGAATAATTTTTACCTTTGGCTCTGTTGATATGGTGTATTAAGATTAGTAAATGAGTAATCCCAGCCTAAGGGATCTGATTTTCTTTACATTATTTATTCTCTGTGTAGGAGCTAGAAACTCATTCTGAAATAAACTCATTTGCTGAGAAGATAAAAATCCAGGCTCTGCAATGCAGCCTGCAACACTTTTAATGGTATGAACTGCTGTCTCTGCCCTCAGACTCCTTCCATAACAGCATCTTCCTCTTTGTGTGCTAATGATGGGAAACTAACCATCTGCTCCTGACTTTGCCCAGTGTCTGTCTCCATTAACTGCCACGTTTTCCTCATCTGGCTCACTCAAGTCTTAAGAAAGTCTTACCCAACTGCAAGCTTTTCTGTGTGAGTCAGCCTTTGCCTACTACTCCATAGCATGTGGTAGCCTATCTATGTCACTCCTCCGCTTAAACTGAAATTGGCTGGATGGATCTGATTTCCTCTCTAGACTTTAAAATAGAGACTAATATTGGATTGTTCTCTTTAGCATTCTTTTCACAGTAAACCATTCTTAACACTGAGCTAAAGACAACTTATGCTTGAAATAACAAGGAGAAGACCAATTCCACTATGCTCTCATTTCCCTACAAAATTATACCTGGAGCTTCACAGGTTACTTTCTAAGAGTATAGATTTATACATTATTCAGTAACATTCATTTTTCTGAATATTTTGACTATAGGTTCTTCTGTGAATAGTATAAGAAAGAAAATTCTGCTATTGTACTGGAGTTGTTTATAAGTTAAAGGTACAAATATTGAATTATAACACAAGATATCTCTATCTCTATCTATCTATCTATCTATCTATCTATCTATCTATCTATCTAGTACCTTGCCTGTGTTGAGATTAAAGTTACTAAACCTTAAAATTTTAAAACAATTATTTTATATTAATGAGATATTTATTGATATTTACAAGCAAGATGAATATATGTATTTTTATCACTGAACTGCTTCATGAAAAACTATAAAGTAAGATGATACCTAAGTGGATGATTATATGGTTGGTTCTCTTGAAACAAATACATACCCAGGCAAGTGTTAGTAATTTTGAAAATATATTATTTAAAGTTATATTACTCACTATCCAAAGATAAGACCCAAAATACGTGACAGGCTGTCTCTCTCAAAATGGCCAGTAGATTGTGCACACATATGTGCATGCACACACAAACACTCATGTGTACACACACACACACACACACACACACACGCAGAAAGATATACCTCCCTAATCTGTTTTCCCTCCATCTACTCATATAGCTCAGAGAATATCAAAAACCCGGAGCAATCCACTTGTGAGCCAGGTTATAACTCTAATATATCGGATGACACAAAGATAATAAGCAATTTCTGAGAATTAGCATAAAAGCTATTTGTGGGAAATACATGTGGAGGCTATTTTTATTTATTTTTGTAAATCAGAAAGTCAAACACATTAGACTTGCCTGCTCTGTGGTAATATTGCTGTTGACTGAAAATAGCGGCAGCTCTGCCCATACAAAATCCATTTTTCCACTTGATGGGAGACTATCTGGAATTATAGTTCCAGTAAAAATGATACTGAGACGGGAAAAAGAATGAATGTCAAGGTACTTGTCAGAATGTCTAATTTAAATAATTCCCAGCATGCATTTAGGATTTACTAAAGCATCATTTAAGGGTTAGTATCTAAATGTCCATACTATGTGGGATGAACTGTGGCAATTTTAGTGGAAACGTTGGTCTGGGACCTACTCTGGGATGGTGTTTCAATGGTGTTGAAGGAATAATTAATGCTATTAATAAAGGTAGAAATGGGCCATGGAAGGGCAGGGCATGCTGGTCCTTCTAGACTCTTCTCTAGCTTCCCCTCAGTTTTCCCTGTGTCTTAACCATGTCTGTCCTTTCTACATTCTGATGCCTTGATGTCCGAGACTTTGGTGATCCAAAGAGGCCACAGCTGCCAGAGTAAACCACCTCCTAGGGTCAGTGAATGACTTCCCCACCAGAATGCTTTCTAAATTTGAACCAATTTACCCACCGTCCTTAAGTCAACTCTTTCCTCTGAGGAGCTCTCAGTTTCTGGGACCACTAACCCTTGTCCTGGATGGTATGGCCAGGTCACAGGTGGCTTGGGAGACCATTTCTCTCCCCCACACAGCCCATGGAGATTATTGCAGCCGGCCAAGCCCACATCTGCTTGCCTGGTCACACTTCGTCATGTGGAAACCCCAAGAATGTCCCATTCACACTCCCCTCTCCTATGCCTTCTAGAAGACCCTGCTGATTCCCCTGTGCCCTTCTGACCCAATCTGTAGCACAGCTGACCTCCCTGTCGGGAACTGTGGAGTAATAAACTTGATCCAATCAC